CTCTATTTCTAGAGTTGTAGCAAACTTTCAAGCCGGCATTTCGGTTATAAAGGTGAATTCACTGACCACATAGAGGTAGTTGACAAAGCACAGAAAAGTGGAACGGATAAGCAGGGGACATTAGGGAATAACATGGGTCTACAGTGTGAGAATGGCAATGAAATCGTTAGTCATAATGTCTCCATACCAGATAAGAAACAGGGACTTAACTGTACGAACTAATACGTGAAGGAAGTAATCTGACCTTGAAACGAATAACAATGTGTTGAAAGGTTAGTATGCAATGGTTGTGCTGGGTTCTAGGGTGTTTAGGACAAATCATTCACATCGAGGCACGTATGAGACATATCTCTTTGAGTAAGTAGTTCATTAAGAGTAGTGAGAGAGGGGTGACTTATTGTCAAAAGACCGTGAAGTAGTTTCTGTAAACACCATGAAAATAGTAGGGAACCATAAGATACTAAGTAAATAACGCACTGTCCAACGAAAACGTGGACACGTAAGACCGTCACACACCAAAATGTTTAAGGTTGCGAATCTGAATGGACAAACGGTGCAATTTACTCAAACAAGTTTTCGCGTAGGAGGGACGTTGAAGATTTACGTCTAATGTCCCGGGGGCGATAGTTAACTTCAGTTAGCTTAAGAGATTTCTTACAGATGAACCAAAAGCAGATTCACTAGTAATCCCCAAAAGCCATAATCACAAGAATGTGGAAAACAATGAAAAAATCAAACCGGGGTTGGTGTACGATCCTCAGTGAACTGGTGGATAACCAAGAGGATAACGCACTATTATGATCGGAAGTGGTGGTACAGTGGTTATGCTTATCGTAACAGTGACCCTGAGGTAATGTGTTCAAATCCCTCGGGAACCACATATCTTCCCCATTTCATGCACTCTCCCTTCGTTGCCAAGATACTGCGAGCACAACTGCATACTGCATAAATAAAAAGGGATAAAAACATTTATTACATAAGTATGTTAATTCACGTTGGTTTGATTGTGCAAGCCTGTTTCTGTGTCACTGATCGAGGAGTACAGCATTGCTACAGCGGTGTAACGGGGAGAAATTCGTGGAAGAGACCACCTAGAGAGCGAACAAACACAGGGTTCGGTAAACGGAACGTAAATATATCACCGACATAGGAGTTTGCATGTGTGAGAGCGGGGGCATTCCACCGACATTACTTAGAATGTAGAGGGCAACAGGCACAGTGAGGACAGCAGCAGCAGCAGATCAGCATCGTGGAGAAAAGTATTTCTAAAGGCAATCTGAGCACTATGCTCACGAAGCGAGAGAAGACCGAAAATGAGTGGTTCAGTTTTCCTGGAGTGGAGGGAGTACTGCAGTTCCTTACCACCAAAACGAGTAAACACATTTCCATGCAAACGAGTAAGAAGTAGATAACACATTCGGTTAATCGACCGAGAAGACCGTTTATACCATCAGAAGCATGCCTGCGTAAAATTAAAGCATCTCGAATTTAGCCCCAACGAATGACCTACCAGTGCAGCTAGTTCCGTCAGAGACTGATCCAAAGGTCGTACAGATCGCCTCAACTGTGATACGAGGGATTTGGGCAACCGCGTGTACACACACTTGCTCCCATGGTGCAGAAAGCGTCGTCGTCCACGTGCGGTGATGGTGGTTGTGGGGGATGAGGCTATTGGAGCTAGAGCACACAAATTATTGAGAAGTGTGGCCCACGCGCGGATCAGTTGAAGGGTTTGAATCCGATGCGGTCGATCGGTGAGATTTTCTGAACTCTTATGTCGCTCACTGTCAAACGGCGAGCTATCTGTTGGGGATAGGAGGGGTAGAAGCACGTGAATCACTACGGTACCAACCAGATGGGAAGAAAGTCGTTGCTGGTAGAAGTAGGCCACTGCTTTCACTGCTTCCGGATGTCCCGCGGTCAGATGGGATAAACATCGAAAACCAGCTTCGAGCAAGTCGAGGGTAGAACCGGCATTTGTGTGTGGAATGTGTGATGAAGTGCCCATGCTGGATGTGCGTGAGGCTATCGTGACAAAGTTTATTTCAGACTGGTCTGAATGCGACCATGTGGGAAGGATCAGACCCGGAGAGGACGGTTCCATTTGGGAGACTTTGGGGGCCGTTGATTTTGTTGGGGACAGGTGAGCGAGAGCAACGGATCTGTGAAACATTTTGATCGGAATCGAGTCCGACGAACAATTTTCAGACGAACGAGGGGATTTCCCAGTGCGTGCATGGGTCGGGGTCGGATGATCCGGGTCAGCAGTCCTTGTGCACAGGGAGAGATTAGACAGGGAATCGGACAGAGTGGATGCGGTCACTTTGGCCGGACTGGGTGTAAAAGAGCCAGTTCTCGTTTGTGGAGCTTGGGATGTGGCTGATCGTTTCGAGGCGTGATCCAGAACAGATACCATGACGCGTGTGATTACATCTACACCGTTTAGCTGAATAAAAGAAGGGAGAGAGAGAAAAAACACCAATCAGAGTCAAATCGAAATGCATTAATTACATTTCTTGACTTCACTAACTTAAAGTCGGTAATTAGTTTTAGTGCATCATCATTACTCGAACGAGAGAATTTGTGATCTCTAAGGGCCGCGAAGGAGAGTAACAAGAGATCGGAACTTCCTAATGTGGATCAATCGAGGTCAGTAGGGTCGACCAAAAACAGCAACATTGATATTAACCCTATGATTGGATGTTTCGCTGGCTACAACTTAAATGAAGGTAATAATAATGATAATAATAATCATAAATAATGAGTGGTCTTGCACGAACACAACTTTTGTGGTCACGAGCGCTAAGCGAACAAGTGGAATACTGACAACAATGTCGAGAGAGAAACATGGCAAATACAGAATACAGACTATATGTCGCACCATCACATTCAGAGTGGGCGATCTTAACGAAGAGAACAATTTTTTAACCTCAACTCAATTCGAATGAAAAAAAAACGCATTTGGCTTTGTAATTTCTGAAGAGTTCGACAAGGTGTGTCGGTGAACAGTTGCCGAAATTTGGATGTATAATTGGAGATGATTTACATGTACTCGTCAGGGGGCAACGAGAGGCGGGTACGTATACGAAACGCCAAAATGTGAACCTTGTGTGAAACGGGGTTGCATGTGTTGCTGACGCCGCTGCCGCCATCGCCTCCGGTACCGCCATGTGCACGGGCCGCGTACACGACCTG